CTGTGCTCTATAGGGTCTCAGAGTAGAACTGTGCTCTATAGGGTATCGAGGGCTGATCATCAAGCCTTTCTTGAAGGTTCTTCTACCACCAGTCTTGAACCTTGGACCATTCTATTTCCCAACATTTGCTTTCCAGCAGGGTTGTTTTCTTTTGTAAAGAGCTTTAGTCTTTGTGGGTCTAGCTGGTCTCTGTCAGAACTGTTAACTCGGCTGCTGCAGGGCAAAAGCAGCCATAGACAATTTGTAAGTGGATGCACATGACTTTGTTTCAATAACATTGTATTTACCACAGCAGGTAGCACTCTCAACTTGGCCGAAGGGTTGCCGTTTGTTGACTTTTGATTTTGAACTCTAAGCCATTATTTCTGAGTACAATTGGTATAGGCTATTAAGTAAGGGACATTTCTGCATGAGTCATTGTCCCTGAGGGCTTTACAATTATTCTATCCCCTTGTGTTTAAGTAAATACCGTTTAAAATGATCAGAACAGTGCCAGCCACGCCGAAAGGAGAAGGCGGCACTGGGAACTGCCTTGGGTTTCCTAAGCAGCAGCTCTGTTCTGCTCAGCAGGGCTGCTGTAAGGCAGCATCTCTCTCTGGAAGCGGGCTTGGGTTTTGTTTGGGTAGTACACCTGAACAGAAAGAAGGACTGGGGAGGCAAAGGTTTTAAAAAGCCAACAGCAAGCATTTCTAGAGAACCCAGAGTTTAAAAAACCAACGGAATTTTAGTACAGCTTGATTTATTTGTTTGTTTTGTTTCTAATGTGAAACCATTTCTGCTAGCTGCCTTTCAGCTGGAATGAAAGGCCAGCCTGAACTTAAGCGCCTGCGCATCAAGTTGATTCTGATTCCTAGTGACCTTATAGGCTAAGAGTAAAACTGCCCTAGGGACCTTGAGGCTGTCAGTCTTTCCTGGGGCGGACAGCCTCCTCCGATGGAACAGCTGCTGGGTTCCAACTGTGGTCCTTGTGGTCAGTAGACCAACACATAACTGACTGTGCCACCAGGGTGGCTTTGTAGCATAGTTAAAAAAGGAAAACAACAACAACACAACATCTAAATAAACCCAAACCCCGAACTAAAAAAAAACAACAAAAAACAACCAAAGGAACAAACAGCAAGAAATCATTCCCAACTGTTCTAGAAATTTCTGACTTGAAATGACATAAAAATATGAATTTGTTTTCTGGTATCCACAATGGGGTCCCTGGGACTCCAAGTTGGCAGAGCCAGTAATGATGTCATGCCCTGTCAGTCTTTCTACCATGCTGGTGCCTGCTACCTCATTAACAGATCCTGCTGGATCTCAGGGCCAATGGCTGGGAGTTGAAGGAAGATGTCTTTCATCAGGAAAACTTACAGTTCTGTAATTTTGCTTTTGGTGTTTGTTTACAGGATGCTATGACTCAGCCCAAGATAGGCAGACAGACCCCGCCCCTGGGTGTGTGTGTGACAGATGTCCTACCCTCTTTGTATGCAAGAAAATGAGTATGTGATGAACTGGGTGGCTTGGGCACATCCTGGGGACCAGAATTTCTACACTCTTTATTAACTTTATCTTAACTGTAGAGGTAGATGACTCTCATTCCATAGATTTGGTCTTGTTAGTCGTTATCAGGTCAGTCAAATGCACAATGAAATGAAACATGGATCATGATAGGTGGTGGATTAACCATTGTGCTCCATAGGGTTCTCGTGGAATGATTTTTTGGTAGTAGATATCAAGCCTTTCTTCCGAGTCTCTTCTTAGTCTGGAAGCTCCCCTGAAATTCCTTCAGCATCATAGCTTCCTGCAGGCCTCTGCTGACAGACGGGTGGTGGCTGCTCAGGAAGTGCATCGGTCAGGAACCTAACCTTGATCTACAGTATGGGAGGTTTCTCCTGCCTGGTAAGACATCCCCCTCCAAACCACTCTTCATTCCATCGAGCTGCCCACAGGTGGCTTATCACACTGCCACTTGCTCCCCAGAGAAAGGTAGCATTCGGTAGTGTAGGGCACGATGGCGCGGCCGCTGGACTTTGGTCACCTTGGTTGGCCAACTGCTTGTGCCCTTTATGAGCCACTGACCTCGGGCAAGGGAAAACTCCTCTAACTCCAGGTTCTCTCTCTCTCTTTCTAATCTGTAGAATTAGTAGGACACATCTGTCATGAAAATTAAGTGAGAGAATGCAGGTAACCTCCCTGCCCCCTCCCCCAGCACTGCGCCTCACAAATAATGGGAGTTTTGTTCCTCCGCGTCATGACGGTCTCCTCCCAGCATTTGCAGTGAGTTGTATTTGCAGAGGAACGATTGGGCCACATGCGTGTTGGAGCACGTTTGCCTTGTTCTGCCAGCTATTCTGGGGTGACCTCTGAAAATGTTACTTACCTGTGCCCCTCTTTCCTTGTCTACAAAACTGAGATACTAATGGCACTCACCTTGTAGGGCTTTTGTGAAGATTACTTGAGTTTAATGCCTTTAACTGCCTGCCATAGTGCCTGGCACATTTTGAATATTCATGAGCAGCAGTGATTCCGTGGCGGGATTTTTGTCTTCCATGCAAGAGGCCTGGATTCAGTTCCCAGCCTTCATGCCACCATCCATGTGTCTGTGGAAATTCGCCTGCTCTTGTGATGCTGAACGGATCTCAGTAGAGCATCCAGATTAGGG